ATATATATATATATACACACACACACACACATATATATGTGACATTGTTACTGAGATATGTAGCACAAAATATTTCCCCTCATTTGTGGGATCTTTGTTTCTTTTGTTTTGTCAAGGTATTTTAGTTAGATATTATCCCTTTTTTGTTGCTACAGCTTATGCATTTAATATTGAAGTATGTTTAGATTCTTTCTAGTTTTGAAGTGATCATGACTATCAATAAAGCTGCTAGAAATTTCACATGTAGGGTTTTTTTGAGTGTGTACATTTCTCCTGAGTAGATACCTACAAGTAGGGTTACTAGGTCAAGTGGAAACTGATTTTTATAGGAAAATCAGACTGGCTATACTATTCCAGTATATCAGCATGTGTTCCAGTTGTTTCATATCTGGTGAACAACTTGTATTGCCAGTTATTCTAAGATTTATGTCATGCTGTCTCAGTAAAGATATACAAAACATTGGGAGTGGGGGTATATAGTTCAGATATAAATTTGTGGTAGAACATATGTCTAGCATGCACAAGACCCTGGATTTGATTCCCAAAACTAACAAAAAGATAATATGATTGATGTACACATTGGAATGCTGAACTTTATTAGGGAAATGAAAATCAGGATTATAGTGAAATTCCACTTCCCTCCTACTTGGATGGCTATAATTAAAAGATGAAAAACAATTTTGTTTTGTTTTGTTTTGGGGTCCAGTCGTGGGGCCTGAACTCTGGGCCTGGGCGCTGTCCCTCAGCTCTTCAGCTCAAGGCTACCGCTCTACCACCTGAGCCACAGCACCACTTCCGGCTTTTTTCTTATGTGGTGCTGAGGAATCGAACCCAGGGTCTCATGCATGCAAGGCAAGCGCTCTACCACTGAGCCAACTTCCCAGCCCCTGAAAAACAATTTTGATTAGAAGTAGAGAAATTAAAACCTTCATATACTACTGGTGAAAATGTTAAAATAGTGCCTCTGCTGTGGAAGAGTTTGGCAAATGCCTATAGAATTACCATATAATCTAGCAACTTAATATATACCAAAGAGAATTGGAAAAATATATTCAAGTAAAAAATGGTATATTTTATATACATTTTCCTATATTAATGCTTATAGCAATATTAATAGCCGTAAACAGAAATATTTCAAAATTTTAATTGATGAATAGTGGCTTAATTATATAATGGATTTTAATATAATGGATTTTAATACTGGTGTGTTCTACAACATGGGTGAACTTAAACCTTTTTCTAGGTGAAAGTTGCCAACCATAAAGGGTTACATATTGGAAAATTAGTTATTTGACATGTCCACAGTAGGTAAATACCTAGATCAGAAAGTATATTAGTTGCTGCCCATGATTAGTGAAAATAGGAGGATTAGTGATTGATGGCTATAGAATGCAAGTTTTCATTTTGATGAAAAATTAATTTTGATGATGGATGCCCAACTCTGAATGTATTTTTAAAGAATCACCAAATTGTTTACTTTAAGTTGATACTGTAGGTGTCGTAAAGCTGTTATGCTTCACTTTTAAGAATTCAATGCGTTTTTTTTAGTAAATATGTTGTTAAAGATTTTTATCATTACAAAAATAACCATTTTATTTCCTTGTTTCAGTGCTTATACCCACTACAGCCCCAAATAACTATTAATCTGCTATTTCCATAGGTTTGTCCTTTCAACATGATTCATATAAGAGGTTATATCTTTTGGGATCATGCACTTTCTTTTAGTTGAGGGTAGGATCCCCACATACTTGTTAAACTATTATGGTCATCATAGTAGGTGTGTAAATGATGTCTCATGCATGATGTTGAACATGTTTTTATGAGTTTATTAAGAATTCTTGTATCTTTTCTGTAAGAGGTTGAATTGCATTCTTTTGTTTTTATTAACTTTTGTAGTTCTTGTTTTTTTCCCTTTTGGTTTGGGGATTAAACTCAGCCTTTTGCATGTTCAGTCAGTGCTTTTACCAAAGAACTACATCTGTCGCACCAGAGAGGTTTATTCGTTTTTCATTTGTTTGTTTGTTTTTGTTTTTGTTTTTGGTCTGTCATGAGGCCTGAACTCTGGGCACTGTTCCTCAGCTCTTCAGTTCAAAACAAGCGCTCTACCACTTGAGCCACAGTGCCTCTTGTGCCTTTTTCTGCTTATGTGGTGCTGAGGAATCCTTTGAACCCAGGGCCTCATGCATTCAATGCAAGCACTCTACCACTGAGCTACCTTCCCATCCCTCAGAGAGTTTTTAGATGTTTTCAGTATTCAATTTTTTGTTAGCTATGTGATATATAAATATTTCCCTCTGGTTTGTGAAAATGTCATTTACAGAGCAAAAGATTTTAATTTTGATAGAGTCCAAAAGATTTTAATTTTGATGGATTCCAATTTTTTTGTGTGCTATAGTTAACAAATTTGCCTAAACTGGTCAAGTAAGTTCTGGTTTACAACTCAAAATGTCCAGTAGGATAGGGTATAGAGAGGGTGTCCTTGAAATCTTGTTTCCTTCTCCCCTCTTGGGAGCCAGCCAGCCAGTCCAAGGGTATGTTCAAAAGATTGTATTTTACATTTAACTCTTATCTATTTTAAGTTACAATTGTAAATGGTGTGAAATACATACAGGTCAGGAGTTACTTTCTATATATGAGGTCAATACTTTTGTCTGTTGAATTTCTTTTGTACTTTTGTCAATCAATTGGCCATATTTATGTAGCTCTATGTGCTTCTATGGCATGTATTTTTCCTGCTCTTTGCTGTCCAGTTCCTAATTTTTCTGATCTTATTTCCAGTTGTTTCCTATTTTCTGTTTCTTTCCTCCTGGTTTCTTTCCTCCTTATTCAAAATGTATATGAATCATTCATTTTAGTTTAAAAAGCAATAGATATGAAGAATTTGTTTTTCTTTGTAAATTATGCCAAAATTAACATTAAAATTACAACCATTAACTTTTCTCTGAATTAATGATCTTAAAATGGTGATGCCTCTTTTCAAACAGTATATCTTATCACTTTAGCAAAAGGCAACACTTCCCCTGTTTTATGTTTACTTAAAAAAAAGATAATTTCAAATTAGCCTGATAAGGGAAATCAAGATTTTTTTCCATGCAAACATTTATTTCATTCCTAAGTTGTAAGTGCTTCCTAATGTTTTTCCTGTAGGGGACAGTCATGATTTCTACTGCATCCACAAACATGTAAAATAATTTTGAAAGCAACTTAGTATCAGCTTTTACCTATATATGTATGTATGGTGATGTGAATCTATCTCCCTTAAAGTATTTTTACTTTTATATTTTTATTAGCATAAATTGTACAAGTTTCATTGTGGTATGTCCATACATTCATATGATGTACTTCATTTGAATTTACCCCCCCCCATTACTTTTAGTTTTCCCTCTTCCCCTTTATTTTTAAGAATATATTGTTACAATCTTTAAGTAGTTGTACAAAGGGAAATATGGAATGTGATTTTAGAATTTAAGTAAAAATAAGGTTCTATATAATGGAATGAAATAATATTTTCTTAGAACCCACAGCAATTTTTCTGGCTAAGTACTATAATAATGAATTGAATGACATATCTAGTGTTCATTACCTCTTTTGTTGTTTGCCTCAGCACCTAGAATGGGTCATATTGAAAAGTATGGATATTTTCAGAGCTATTATTGTTTCTACTTCTTAGATAACTTTCTGGCTTAGTGCCAGTGGCTCAAACCTGTCATGCAAGCTATTTAGGAGGCTGAGATCTGGAGGACTGTGTTTTGAGGTTAAACCAGGCTGAAAATTTCAGTGGACTTCTTCAGCTAAAAGCAAGGTTGGAGGTATTGCTCAAGTGATAATAGTGTTAGCAAGCAGAAGATACTAGATCACACGAACGTTTTTCTTTTCCTATTAGTGCTATACTAGTTGGGAGACATACTTCAAGAATTAATAAAAGTTTCTTAATATAGATAGTAGATTTGGTTTCTTCACTCCTAGCAGGTAGTTGTTATCTAGAATTAAATGAGATTGAGTATAATGATTGAGTCTCATACCTTAAATATTCATGAAGTTGCTTTGGCACTTTGATCTGTGACCTCTGCCTCCACAGATTAAAAGGAGGTCCCCTCTTGGTTTTGAAAATATTCTTTTTATTAGCATATGCTTATTGTACAAAATGGTTTCATTGTGATTTTCATACGTGCATGTTACTCAAAGGTAATTTTTTGTGCAAATATTAAGGCTTGAAACTTGCACTCTCACTTGGCTTTGTTGCTCACTACTTGCTCTTCTACCACTTAAACCACACCTCCAGTCCAGGTTTGGCTGATTAGTTGGAGATGGAGTTTTACAGACTTTTTTTTCTGTATAGCCTACAATGAAACTGAGATATTCCAGGTCTCAACCTCCTGAGTAGCTAGAACTACAGGCAATGAGCCATTGGTGCCATGCAAAAAATATAGTGTGTGCATATGCACACGCCCACGCACCCTGGTTTTAGGGGCTTGAACTCAGGGCTTTGACCTTTCGTTTGGCTTTTTGACTCACAGTGGTGCTGTACCAATTGAGTCACATCTCCAGTTCCCACAAAATATATTTTTAATGCAAAAGCCCAGTAACTAGGATTTTCTTCTCATACTTCCTGAAATTATGAAAAGAGCAGGGCATTTACAGAAACTAGTTGAAAATCCAGGCAGAGATCTTAAGGTGGACTAGGCTGAGACTAATTATTTATAGACTGGCAATTGCAACTTCATACAGCAGTTTGTCTTGTGAAACTATAAACCCACTTTGTCTCTGAGACCTGAGTTCAGCTGCTTATGTATACTTTTCTCAGCCTTGTACTAATTGAATTAGTCCCACTCTTCCAGAGCTGTGTACCTTCTGCCTGCAGTGTTTCCTTTTTTAAAGTTCCTTATTCCTGGGGCATTGATTCTTCCTCTTCTCTTTGCAGGTTCCTGCCTTGACTTGACCAATCCAATCCCCTGCTTTTCCTGCTCCTGGGAGGTACCAAGATTCCATGCTGCTGACTCCAAACTGCCCCTTTGTGCCTAGACCTTGAACTGCTTTCTGGATACACCGCTGCCCCACTGTTGTGCCCCACTGTTACTTCATTCTACTCTTCTATTCCTCGTGGCAAGATGCACAAAGGATGGAAAAAGTACTGCAGCCAGAAGTCTTTGAATGAATCATCAATGGATGAATATTTAGGCAGTTTAGGGCTGTTTCGAAAGCTGACTGCCAAGGATGCCTCTTGCCTCTTTCGGGCTATTTCAGAGCAGGTAAAACAAGAGGAAATATGTCTTGCTTTAGTCACCTTTCTGAGTTTGAAATGTGGCATAGTCCTGTAGCTAAATTGGTAGCCTAGCAAGAAAAGCAAAAGAATTGCTTAGTGAAACACCCAGGACTGTATAAAAACAGGTTGCTCCTTGTTAGTGCAAACTGAAACAACCTGTGCCACTGCTGATCAGTCCAAGTATGTTGCCATCTTTTCTGTTTAAAGTTTGTAATGTAGGGTTAAAGCAAATTTGAGAAATTTATCTTAATCTTCATAAGTATGCACTTGAGGAGTAGAAAGGGGGAAGGAGTACAAAAATACCATCTTATCTCACTAAAGAGTACGAATACTTGCTTTCCCTATTTTCCACATATATTCTAGAGAAGGGAAGATTGTATCCAGTTCATAATCTTTAAAAGCTTGTTTCAGATGATTTTTAAGAGTAAGATACTCTTTCTCTTCTTTTGTAGTTATTTTGCAGCCAGGTCCATCATTTACAAGTCAGGAAGGCTTGCGTCTTATATATGAAGGAAAATCAACAAACTTTTGAGTCTGTAAGTAGCATATGTGCCCTAAGGTACATATTGTTGGTAAAGTAGTTGTGCAAAAAGAATTTTAAGCACATACATATGAAAACTATATCTTTTGTCTCCTATTTTCTAATAGTAATATTTTCTAGCTGGCCTCCCACTTAGCATGCTTCCGGACTTCCTTCCAGAATTAGGCTGTTTTGTACAGTAACTTAAAAAATCGGAAAAAAAATCTGGGTGTGGTGGCATATGCCAAGCACTATAAGACTAAGGCAGGAAGAGTTCCAGGTGAGGGCTATCTTGGCTACAGTGAGACCTATCTGAAACAAAACAACTAGATAACAATCTTTGTATTTCCCACTTCCCTTCCTCAAACCCTCAAATCCTAAAAAGTTATTTTGACTGCTATTTTTATTATAATTATTCAAAAAAAGGTTTGACTCTGTCTGCAACTTTAAAATGCACATTTTAATATGTGTACAATCATTTTCAGCCAATTTGAAGAGTCATAAAAATTGTAAGGAAACTTAACATCTTTTTAAATATGAGAAACTAGTAATTGTAACTGTTACACTAATGATTGAATTTGTGAAAAGCAACTTCTAGATATTCACTGCTCTAGTTAAGGAAGCTACAAATTTACCAAGTTCTAATTTGATGTGTGCCTTTCCATGTGACTTTTCAGTTTTTACATTTTTACCCATTGAAATACTAATTAGTTTCTTTCTGTTGACTGTGGTATTTGTCTGCTTTCTGTTTGAAGTTTACTCTTAATTTTTTCAACAGGTTTCAGTGAATTTTAAAATGTTATGAAGGATTCTTTAAAGCTTATTGTCTTGAAGTTGATTTTATTTTCCACACCTGGGGAAAGCATTGTTCATGACATTCAAATGAAAGACCATGGTGTAAAGACGTGTACCAAGTATTTTTATACATTCATATCACCTGGGGATCTACAGATCCTAAATGAGTAGGTCTGAGTTGAGACCTCAGATGAGATTTCTGCATTTTTGCCAAGCTCTCAAGTGATGCATACTTTCAGTTCCTGAATTGTATTTTGGAAACAAACGTGAAATTAGAAGTTATGGATAAATCTCATTATGCTGAGTGGTAGAAAATCTAAATGCCCCTAACAAAAGTTTATACTATGTGACTGTCCTTTAAAAAAACAACCTCTAGAGAAAATACTATTCTGTAGTGAAAGAAAGCACATCAGTGGTTATGGTTATATCAGTTAATAGAGACACAAAACAGGAGTTAATTTTGATGATTGTTACATGGGTATATACATGTCAAAAAATTGCACTGTTTGAATTATGCAGTTTATTGTATGTCAATTAGGTGTCAAAAGTATATGAGGATTTCTTTTATCTGGTCCTGGGGTTCAAACTCTAGGCTTGGGTGCTTTCTCCAAGGTCATTTTTGCTCTACCACTCTAACCACAGTGTCACTTCCAGATTTTTCTGTGATTAATTGGAGATAAGAGTCTCACAGCTTTCCTGTCCAGGCTGGCTTCAAAGCTCAACTTCTTGAATAACTAGGATTACAGATGTGAAGCACTGCCGCTGGGCTAAGTGAGGAAAATTTAAAACTGAATTTCTTAAAGTCTGTAGTTACGTACATGAATGAAACTAGAAATGTTCCCTGAGTTTAATGTACATGAATGGAACTAGAAATGTTCCCTGAGTTTAATTCAATTTTTTTGTGCTATTCCTGGGGCTTGAACTCAGGACCTGGTAATTCCTCAGCTTTTTTGCCTAAGACTGCTACTTTACCACAGCCACAGCAGTACTTCTCTGGTAGTCGTTAATAGTGGTTAATTGGAGATAGAATCATGTGCTTTCCATGCTGGACTAGTTTTGAACTGTGATCCTCATATCTCAGCCTCTTGAGTAGGATTAGCAGTATGAGCCACTGGCACCCAGCAATTTCATTTTTATTGAGATGTATTTGACATATAGTAAGAGAACAGTTTAGTTTTAGCATATTTAGTTCTGACCATCATATACAATCATGCAGTTGCCATCACAGTCAGGATGTGGAATATTTTCATCACTCTCAAATTCCCTTGTGCCCCTGGGGCTTTTCTGAGATAAACAAAATTTTCTTTAAAAGTTTCTCAGTTAAAATTTTAATACTTTTTCTCTCAAATTCGAAATCTTTATGTTTATTGACCTTGCTTGATGTATGAAAATTGTCATTTTACCTAAGCTGGCATATCAAAAGAAACTCAGGGCATATTCTTTGATGAAATACACTGGCATATAGATAAGGCAGAACAACCTGTCAGGTGCATTTCTAGTGCAGCTTTCCCCCACTTAACACTTCAGTGATGTGGAACTCTTCTTGTGGTGTTGTACAAACTAGTAATTGTTAACCTGAGTAAAAAACTCTATAATCAGATATCAGTAATCTTGTTTATTTGGTTAAGTCAAGTTTGTTTTATTTTTGAAGTATGTGGAGGGATCTTTTGAGAAATACCTGGAACGGTTGGGAGATCCCAAGGTAAGATGAAGTAATGGGGATTTAATATTTTCAGAGTGATTTGGAATAGCAACCTTAAACATGTCTCTTCACTGTAACTAGACCCAAAATATTTTCTGAAGTAGCTGCCTGTATTGGGTGAAATAGTTACCTTGAAAAGTTAAAGACAAAGAGTGGCTTATTGTGTTAGTGTTGAATATTGAGAATTGGTTTTTAACAATGTCATCATTCATAGACTACTAGAATCAATGCTTGGGAAAAAGGACAGTGTTGGGAAACAGCTTTTTACTTTAATGGGGGAGGAGGGTAGTAATATCATTAAGCAATCATTTAAATAATTAGTAATTGCTCTATTTGTAGTTATCTTTTGTGTGAAAGTAAAATTGTAAGGCATATTTTATGTGGCCCAAAATCATTTTATGTGATAAAATTGATTTTAATTTTCTGGTAAAAACCAAATTTTTAAATATTTGGCTTTGCTTTTATTCTTCTTCCAGTACTACTTTCATATCTTTTAAGTCTGTCATATCATATCATTATTTAATTGTTAAGGAATGTCAGTCCATTTTTTAGTTAGTTACCAAGTGTCATTTTTACATTCTCAAACCAAATTATGGTATCTTCTACAAATCCTTTATCTGATAGTATTAAAAAACAGTGCTTAAAATTGTTAAACGTAAAAAAAGCTTCCTAGCAATAAAATGGTTTTACAAACTTGTATGCTATTTATGTTTAGGAAAGTGCTGGCCAGCTGGAAATACGAGCTCTTTCTCTAATTTATAAGTAAGTTGTATCTTCTTTTCTTTGAGAAAGTGTATGTGTAAAATTTATATTAAAGTCCCGTTGGGGAGTTCATATGTTGATGACGTAGAGTGAAGATGTCAAGAAAGGCAAGGTATTTAGTTTTGGTTAGAGAACCTTAAAAAGATGATAAGTAGCCAGTGGCTCACACCTATAATCCTAGCTACTCAGGAGGTTGAGCTCTGAAGATTGTAGTTCAAAGACAGCCTGGGTAGAAAAGTCCATGAGATGCACTCATAGCTCTAATAAACTATTCTGAAGAGGCCAGAAGTGGTACTGTGGTTCAAATGGTAGAGCGCTAGCCTTGAGCACAAAGGGGTTCAGGGAAAGTGACCAGACCCTGAGTTTTAAGTCCTAGGACCAGGCAAAAAACAAAATGATAAATATCCTTACCTCTATCATTTGTGTTTGTTAGCATGGAAAGATAACTTTAGAAACTACTGGAAGTTGGACATATTGGTGACACAAACTTATAAATCTGAAATCCCAGTACTCAAGCAGTTAGGACGGAAAGATTGTGAGTTTATGAGACCAACTGAGCTACACAGTGAGACCCTTCCTAAATCAATCTATTTATACATCCAGCCGTACTAGTATGACCTATAGGAAATGACAATATTTATCTTAGAAAAGTATTGAATATTTAAATTTGCTTTTCAATGTTTTTCTCAGTGGGGCAGTATCCTTCCTAATAAGCTAGAAATTGGTTTGCATGGTGGGTGCAATGGTTTAAACTTGGGAGATGGAGATCAGGGAGTCTTGGTTCAAGATCAGCTCAGCCATAAAAGTTTGCAAGACTCAAACCAGTGGCAGTACACAGTGATGTGTGCCTGCTTTCTAGACTGAGCACAATAGTTGGGCATAGTGGCAAATTCCTGTCATCACCAATTATTACTTTTTGGGGGGTCTGGTCGTGGGGCCTTAACTCTGGGCCTGGGCACTGTCCCTCAGCTCTTCAGCTCAAGGCTAGCGCTCTATCATCACCAATTATAGTGAGTAGCATAATAGGAGGAATACAGATCAGGTCAGCTTGGGCATAAAGTGACACCCTTCTGCAAAAACAACCAATGCAGCTTGGTGCCAGTGGCTCACCCTTGTAATCCTAGCTACTCAGGAGCTGAGATACAGGAATTGCAGTTCAAAGCCAGCCTTGGCAGGGAACAATCATGAGACTCTCCAATTAACCACCAGAAGACTGGAAGTGGCGCTGTGGCTCAAATGGAAGAATGCTACCCTTGAGCTGAAGAGCTTAGGGTTAGCGCCCACGCCCAGAGTTCAAGCCCCACAACCAAAAAACAAACAAGCAAAAAACAATGCAGAAAGGTGCTGGAGATATAAGCTCAAGTTATAGAGTTCCTGCCTAGCAAGGAGGAGACCCAGAGTTCAATTCTCATTACACCCAAAGAAGAAATTGGTGTACTGATGTGGTTTATGGTATGTCAAATAAAGGATTTTTACCTAAATAGACAATATGGTACATCTGTGCTATTAAAATTCCATGGGGAAATTAAGTCTCCTTATGGCAATTGTAATGAGAAAAAGGTATAGGACTACCATTCTCTTGTTGTTGAAATTCTGTGTTGATCTTTAAAGTTGGAAAAATATCATTGAAGAAAACCATAAGATTTTGAAAAATATTTGTGTAATATAAGCTACACAATATTGCAAATCTTGTTTACTCAAGAATTATGATCTATATGAGACTCCTTGTACACTCTTAGAATGGTGAGCTGGTAGAATCAGAAAGCTCTTATGAGCACTTGCTCATGAGCTGGGCATCAGGTGGCACACACCTACAATCCTAGCTACTCAGAAGACTGAGATCTGAGGATTATGGTTCAAAGCAAGCCCAGGCAGGAAAGTCAATGATAACTCTTAACTCCAATAAACTATTTAGAAAAAGCTGTCCTGTGGTTCAAGTGGTTGAGAGCTAGAAAACGAGTACAAAAGAAGCTCAGCGGGCTGGGAAGGTGGCTCAGTGGTAGAGCACTTGCCTTGCATGCCTGAGGCCCTGGATTTGATTCTTCAGCACCACATAAGCAAAAAGAAAAAAGCCGGAAGTGGCACTGTGGCTCAAGTGGTAGAACACTAGCCTTGAGCTGAAGAGCTGAGAGACAGCGCCCAGGCCCAGAGTTCAGGCCCCACCAACAGACCCCCCCCCAAAAAAAAAGCTCAGGGACAGTGTCCAGGCCCAGACTTTAAGCCCCAGGACAAGCAAAAAAAGTATAAATGAGAAATTGAGCAGATAGGTATATAATCAGTTATTATTTGCTCATTTATATTTTTTGAGAACTGGATCACTATATAATCCAGGCTATCCTGGAACACATGCCTCAGCCTCAGAGCTGAGATTTTAGGTGCACATCACCACACCTGTCCCTAGTTCTCTTAATTCACAAGTCAGCTTTGAAACTGGCTTGATGCCTCTTTGTATATGTTCTTTTAGTTAAGAATTATTTTTAAATGATTAAAAAGTCTAATGAGGAATACTTCAAAGCATTTGTAAATGTGTTGAATTCAAGTTTTAGTGTTGATAAATGAAGCCTATTGAAACACAGTTGTGCTCACTCATATAAACATTGTGCTGCTTTCATTGTAAAAGCAAAGTTGTGTTATCCAGATGATATGCAACAGCTGAAATTGGAATGGTTCTTGTCTGACCTTTTACACTCACTCAACATTTTCTGCTTTTTAGCAGAAAACTTGTTTATTCCCTCTCAGACTCACATACATGTAATTTTAGTTTGTGTGTATATACCTGTATGTGTATGCATGTATGGTAATGCATGTTCCTGCATGTGTAGGTCTTGGGGCTTGAACTGAGAGCGCCTGAGTGTTGTCCCTGAGCTTTTTTACTCAAGAAGTTCCACTTCTGGCATGTTTTTTTGTTTGTTCGTTTTGGTTGTATTTTTGGTAGTTAACCATAAGAGTCTTGGACTTTTTTTTCCTGCTCATCCTGGCTTCAAACCACCATCCTTAGAGCTCTCAGCCTCCTGAGTGTAGGATTATAGGCATGAGCCACTGGTACTTGACATTAGTTTGTCTTAATCTTCATGTTGCTCACAAGTAAACATTTAGAAAAATCCATAGATCCTTTTGCTCTACCTTGAATTAACTCTTTACTTTGAATTCACCTTTAGTTTCTTAGTGTTCCCCACCACCTTGTTTGTGGGGCTTGAACTCTGGGCCTGGGCACTGTCCCTCAGGTATTCAGCTCAAGGATAGCACTCTAGCACTTGAGCACAGTGCCACTTCCGGCTTTTTCTGCTTATGTGGTGCTGAAGAATTGAACCCAGAGCCTCACGCATGTGAAGCAAGCACTCTACCAGAGTCACCTTCCCAGCCCCATATACTTGTTCATATAGCTATTTCTTTCATATACTAAATTACCTCTTTCTACATCCACCTTTGTATTCTCATTGTAGTCGGGATTTTATTCTTTATCGCAATCCTGGAAAGCCACCAACTTGCGTCACAGAAAATGGCTATGAAGATAAGGTAAGATGGATGAATGTTGAACAAAAGAATTTGAATGATGCTGCTGGCTTGCCAGGATATAAGGGGGGGGGGGTTAAATTTAGTTAATGAAAAAGTAAATTATCTAAGTGACAATATACTCTCATTCTAACCTGTCCAGTCATTCTCAGTGATAGTGACTCTCAAAACAGCTGCATTGTTACTCCTCTGTAATTGGAAAAGACAATATTTCTAAAAGCCTAATTGGCTCCTCACTGATCAGGGGATAAAGCTCAAATTCTGTATGTAGGCAGTGTGCAAAAGTGACCAAGAAGTTGCAATATGTGTGTGTACACATGTGTACATTCCAAATGTCAAGTTGCAATATGTGTGTGTACACATGTGTACAGTCCAAATGTCAATTCTTTGATGTTCTCCATACTCTTCTGACAGGTATTTTCTTCTTCCTTTTTTGTCCCCATAACCTGTTTTTGTGTAATTACACTGTCACTTTACATTTGTATACCTGCTTATTTTTTCATTGAGTGCCAATTGTCTGCTGCCTTGTAAATTTCTTAGATGGAAAATAGTATAAAGTAGTTTAATTGTTTGAAAGTATTAAACAATTACACCGTATTTCAAAATACAGTATTTCTTACACAAAGAATTTTTTTTAATTTAAAAAATAGCTATTCTGGGCTGGGAATGTGGCTCCTTGGTAGAGTGCTTGCCTTGCATGCATGAGGCCCTGGGTTCGATTCTTGAGCACCACATAAGCAGAAAAAACTGGAAGTGGTGCTGTGGCTCAAGTGGTAGAGTGCTAGCCTTGAGCTGAAGACCTGAGGGACAGTGCCCAGGCCCAGAGTTCAGGCCCCATCACTGGCAAAAAAAAATACCTATCCTATGTATTTAAATAGACAAGTTCTTCATCTTCATACCATGTAGCATAATTCATGTACCATTCTATTGGCAAGGCAAGACTGGGAGAACTTACATAGGCAAAAGACCTGAATTAAGGAAGTGTCAGAAATAGAGAAGACTGAATAGGAGATAACACGGAAGACAACTGTAAATTGGGACACTTCCTTTAACCATGGCTACTATTTAATTTTTTAGCTAATAATAAACCCCTATCATATAAAATGCAGTTTTCTGGACTTTGAAGGTAACAGAATGGCTATAATATTAGTCTTTTAGCCCATGAAAAGCATTGATTATATAGATATCAAGATAGTTAATTACAATGATATAATCAAGCATGTACAAAGGATGCAAAAGAGAAAGCCCTTTTCTGCTTGCAATCAGAAAAATGAGTCTTAAATGTGAAGGGCAGTCTACTCAAATGGCAAGAGATACTATGGGGACTATTTAAGCTGGACAAATTGAGTAGCATTAAATAATAAGGGGTGGAATAAGCTGGTCCTAAGAATCTAACTGGGTATTGTGAAACTAGTTAGTAGAAGCATTTGTCAATATATTAAGAGTTTTGAACAGTCAACTTACATTGTGTATAACTTAGTACCTCCTTCCTGTCCTTGTTTTTTTTAAATCATTTTTCCATATTATCTATGCATTCAACATCTTTTTTTGTTCATTCCAGTACCAGTATCAGGGCCTCACATACCCTTGGTTTTCTTGTTCATGGCTAACATTCTACCACTACAGCCATGTTACCAGCCCAGATTTTTGACTGGACAATTGGAATCTCATGAACTTTTCTGCCAGGCTGGCTTCAACCTATGAATCTCCACATCTCAACCTCTTGATTGCAGTATGAGCCATTGGTGCCACAGAATAGTGTGTTTACTTAAAAAAAAACAACTATTTTTGTTTGGTTTTGTTCCAACTTGGAGCTTTGTACTCAGCTTGCTTTCTCAAATGGCACTTTACCACTTTCTTGAGTTCTCAACTGGCACCCAACCTTCGATCTATTTTAAAGTCAAACATCAATGTATTTAATCCTTAATGTGAATTGACAGTGTTTAAGCAAAGTGTAACATAATCATAATTGAAAAAGTATAGGCCTTTATATGTTAGCAGTTGTATACAGCATTGACTGACATGAAATTTGAATGTTTGCATATTTACTAGAGATTTTTAAACCTTTAGGTTCTCTCCCCAAATTTTTGACCTATTTCTTTTCTTTTTCTTTTTTCTTTTTTTGTGCAAACACTGGTGATTGAACTCAAGATCGCTTACTTTTGCACAGGTTTTTTTTTTTTCTCACGGCTGGTACTGTATCACACCTACAGTTTCTCTAAAAATTTCCTACACAGAAAAGTTGAATGAATCATATAGTAAATATTATATGCTTAGTTGCCACACTTAGTCCCTATGGTTAAATAGTTGCAGTTTAAATAGGTTTTCTACCATAAAAATACAGAAGTATGAAATCTTTTGGTGTGTAAATCAAAGAATACCATGTATAAGGATCATGTACACATTTTATGCAGAGCTAATACTTTTAGGATAGTGATAAAATACCTGATTTTGGAATTTATAAAATACATTTGGCCATGTGCTGGTGGCTCAAACCTGTAGTCCTGGCTGCTTAGGAGGTTGAAATTTGAGGATCATAGTTCAAAGTCAGCCCAGGCAATAAAGTCTGTGAGACTCTTATTTCCAATTAGCCACCCAAAACTTCATGGAGAACTGAAGCTAGAGTGGTAGAACACTAGCCTTGAGCACAAAATCTCAAGGATGGTGCCCAGGCCCTTAAGTTGAAACTCTAGTACTGGCATAAAATACATTTGTTTATATTGAAATTACAATATGTAGCAAGATGCAAGTAGCTCACACATGGAGTTTTAACTACTCAGGAGGCTGAGATCTGAGGATCATGAATCAAAGCCAGGATGGGCAGGAAAGTCCTTGACTCTTACCTACAATAAACTGCTCAAAAAAGCCAGAAGTGGAGTTGTGTGGCTCAAGTGGTAGAGTGCTAGCCTTGAGTGAAAAAGTTCAGGGACAGAGCCTGGGCCTTGAGGTCAAGCTCTGTGTTCAGTCCCCAGCAACACCAGCAAAAACAGAGCAATTAGTTAAAATGAAAAAAAAAAGTCATGAACACACTAGACAGTATGTGTAAAATGAATTATACAACTTGTAGTTTGGGATGGGAGGGAATATCTGGTAGAGAGAAAGGAAAGGGGTGGTGTTTTCCATAAAGAAATATACTCTTTAACAGACTTATGAAACTTATCCCTCTGTATAACATCTTTATAATTAATATTTTTTGAAATGTTACTAACAAAATTTCTTTATGAGGTATACCTAATATTTATATTCAAAATTTAAAAAATACAAATTCATATAGTTTATTACTTGTTGATTAACAATTTACTTCCATGACTGTAAGATGTAATATTAGGTTTCTGTTCTTTTCAGATTGTACTCTGCTATACAAGTAATGGTCATTACGATTCTGTGTACTCAAAACAATTTCAGACAAGTGCAGCCATTTGTCAGGGTAAGCGAAGGCATTATAAATAATTGGGTGTGATTTCAAATGACTTGTTCACAGTTCTTTTTTTGGGGGGGGTCCGTTCGTGGGGCCTGAACTCTGGGCTTGGGCGCTGGCCCTCAGCTCTTCAGCTCAAGGCTAGTGCTCTACCACTTGAGCCACAATGCCACTTCTGGCTTTTTTCTTTTTGCTTATGTGGTGCTCAAGAATCGAACCCAGGGCCTCATGCATGCAAGGCAAGCGCTCTACCACTGAGCCACCTTCCCAGCCCCTTGTTCACAGTTCTTAAATAGGAGGTCTCAGCATAAAAAAAGACCCTTTGAAGAACTTGTTAGGATCTAGAGTTTATATACTTGGGTTATGACTAGTTCCACATTGTCATAAAAAATCTTATTTTGACAATTGAAGTTTTTGTCCTTTTATTCCTTCAGCTGTACTGTATGAAATTCTCTATAAAGATGTATTTATTGTGGATGAAGAAGTGTTGAAAGCTGCAATTAATTTGTTTCGAAGTGGTTCCAGGAAGAATAGAAACAATGCTGTGACTGGAAGTGAGAATGCTGATACTGATCAGAAGTGTTCAACTCAGGATAGGTAATAAAGGGAAAAGGATGTCAACTACAGGATAATCATTTTTCATGTCTTTGTTTATTATCAGTGGAAAGTGGAAGAGGCCTAATAAGCTATAACATAGATTGCATATACATAAATACATAATACATGTACGTTTATAAAAGTTTTTTTAATGGAGAGAAATTCCGTCAAAAGATATTTTCTTGTGGAATGTTCAGACTTTGGTGGCTCTGTTCAAGTCACAGTGTATTTTATATTGTGAGAAGGGACTTGAGAGCTGTCCAATGACTTTCAGTCTTTATTTATATATTAACTAACTACTCAGCATTTGTTAGGTTTCTGGGTTTATTGTCAGATTTTTTTATGTTAGAGTAGGTCCATAAACCTGCCTTTTTTTTTATTGCTACTACAGTTTAACCTCAAGGTCTCACACTTGTTAGGCAGTTGATCTTGCACTTGAACCATGCAACCAGACCTTTATTGTTATTCTTTTGCTATAGTGTCTTGCTATGTGGTCCAGGTTGGCCTTGAACTCATCATGATACTTTGTGCCTTAGATTCCTGAGTGCTGGGATTATTGGCATGTGCCTCCTGCAAAAAACAAAACTAAATAAAACCTCAGAAAAACAAGCATTGTTATTTTGAAATGGCAACTAAGATTGAATAACTTGTACACACATTTAGCAAATAGGATGTCTCTGTCTAAAAAGTAATTATAAACTTTTGAGTATATTCACAAACTAGAAGTATAGACTGTGGGCCTCTGTGGAAGTTGCCTTTATTTAATAGATGTAGTTGAAAACTTTGAGTTTTTAGATAATGAAATGGGTATTATCTTACATTTTCTTCCTGATTCTTAGCTCTGTTTACAAACTAAGATTTTTGTAGCCATCAAGTATCATCTTAGACTTGTGGTTTTTATTCATGTTTTTAAATTTTGTATTCCTGAATTTTTAGAAATTTGGAGAGAAAGTACAAGATATTCTCACAGAAGGTAGTCAGTGTCAGATCAGGTGAAGAAATGAAATAACTCTTAGTTGAGACAAATAGACTTTTCTATTAATTGAATTTCTTTTAACACTAACTATGAAGAAATCTTTGAAGAGTGGGAAATATATACTAGATGCCTTAAAGATAAATGGACAGAAATGGACAGCGATAAAAGTTCTTTATCCCTGTAGAATTAGGAAATACAGGTAAAAAGTCATTTAGTCATCTAATAGAGATCTTATATATTACTATACTTGCAGAGTGATAGGTGATCTGAGTTGGGTCTTAACAGCTGTGGGAAAACACAGGAACAAGCATTTGAGAAAAAGAACAAATTGAGAAGAAAGGTTTGGAAAGTTGAAATTGAACTTAATATTCTTGCAACTTTTAATTTTTGAGAGAGGATAGTCTAATTTTTCATTTTTATTTTTTGTACAAGTAGTTACACAAGGAGGTTACAGTTTAACATGTCCATTTATTTGTTTGGTGCACCTTGTCAGTCACCTCTTCTCTCAATCTCTCACCAGTTACAACAAGGTTCTCACTCCCCCTTATCTATTGAGTATTATGAGTAAGTTCATCCATCATTCCTTTTCATTTATCCATTACCCAGCCGCTAGCCCCCTCTCGTTGAAAACTTCCTGATACTTACATTGTTACCTAAAAGAAAGAAAACAGGAGAATTTTTTCATGCCAACATTGGGAATTCAATTCAGGGTCTTTGCGCTTTCACAGTGCTCCTGGCTGGCACTCTACCAAGAGAGCCAGGCCTATAGTTCAACATTTTTGATGGTTAATTGGGGGTAGCAGTCTCAAACTTTTCTGCCATAGCTGGCTTTTTGGACCATGAGCTTCAGATCTCATCTTCCTGACTATCTAGGATTACAGGCATAAAGTATTGAAGCTTGGCTAGAAACAAATTTTTTTCTTGGGTCCAGTTGTGGGGCCTGAACTCTAGGCCTGGGCGCTGTCCCTTAGCTCTTCAACTCAAGGCTAGCGCTCTACCACTTGAGCCACATCGCCACTTCCAGCTTTTTTTTCTTTTTGCTTATGTGGTGCTGGGGAATTGAACCCAGGGCCTCATGCATGCAAGGCAAGCGCTCTATCACTGAGCCACCTTCCCAACCCTAGAAACAAATTTTTTAAACCTTATCCGGGACCACAGTAGAAGGCAATGGTGTTTCAGGGTTAAAGTTGCTTCATTCTTAATTACTTATCTTAGGCAAACCAAAGAAGTATAAAGGCAAGGTTTCTTAGTTGTCCACTGCCGCATAACAATATTGTACCAACTTGTCATCTAAGACAACACAGTTATGGTTAGCTTAAGTGTTTTAGGAATTTGGAAATAGGTTTAGTTGAATCTTGTGACACTTTCATGAGACTGTAATGCCAGGACTGAGTTTTTACCTGGTGCTTTGATTAGGGAAGTACCTGCTTCCCCATTCTTGGTTCTTGGCAACATTTATTTCCTCCAGCTATAATACTGATGCTTCAGTGTTTTGCTGGCAGTTAATCAGAGGAAATTTCCTTCGTTTCTTTTCTACATTAGCTCAATGAACTTGGCTGTTTTCTTACTAGTGACAGAGAAACCAACAAGATGAGTACTACATTCTTTCTTAGTGTAATCTACTAAGTAATGTATTGATTAGAAGCAAACTCTTGGAGTAGGAATAACACAAGAGTGTAAACAGTAAAAAGCAGGGTCATGGGAACCATCTTAATGTGCATTTGCCCTTGGGAGCTCTTAAAATACAGATATAATCTATTGAGTAACTGTATTGTAGCACACAGTTGCAAGGAAGGCATAATGCAGATGTTGGGGTGCAAGCTTAATTTTCTTTAAAAAATTTTTCGATCTGAGCTACTTTATCACTAGGTGGTTGCATAGTTGTTAGATGTGAATAAAGTAATTATTTAAAGCCCTTTGTTCTAAATCTTTTTAATTAGGACTGAAGAGTGTGGTGCCTTCTGCAGTGTTGAAAATATCCCAGAGGGTTGTGTTCAAGGATCAGAAGAATCAAAGGTTTGATTTTTTTTTAAGAAAAAAAAATTTCATACTGCTGGCTCAATAACATGATAATTTAAAAGTTAACGTCTGGTGACCCATTCTAATTTTGTGAGGTGCATATAGGAAGTGGTCGTGTTTTCCTTTATTAAATACCTACCTATTTAAAACTGCATTAATTTTCCTGAATTGCTATTAATGAAATTGTGAGTTTTTTAATGCAAAATCTGACCAGTAATTTCAGATCTTTTTTCAAGTTAAAATTATAATAAAAGGCCAATTTTTAGTCTATAAGCAGTCTTTTTGTACAAAAATTGCTTTATTTCCTTTAAAGGACATAGTGTCTTTGTTATTTCAAGAAATTAGGTACTGATACTGGTTCTTGAAAGGAGAAATGTTAAACATACATATAAGGCCTATAAAATCAAGCGGGTTTTCAAGTTTGTAGTTAATATTTAGTATGGTGAATGGCTAAGAAGCAGGAGAAAAATAGTTCCTTTGGGAATTATAATAAAATTTGACAAAAATAAATTTTTCAGAAGAAAGAATTGAAAATGGTGAATTTGTAGCTTGATTATTTTTGTTTTAGTCTCTAGAAAATCTGCCGAAGTTGTTCTTCCCCTATAAGGTGCTCAAAGCCCTGGATCCAGAAATCTATCGTAATGTAGAATTTGATGTTTGGTTGGATAGCAGAAAAGGTAACGAAATATCAGTGTGAGCCATTTGATTCCTGACCAATCCAGGATAATTTTGCAAACTGTTTCTTGGACATTTCTAACATACTGACATAAGCATGGAATTTTAAGAATGTATTTATCAATCTATATTTTAAATCTCAAGCAGGAGACATAGGTTTAGAAGTGGGGAGGGATCTTTTTGAACATTTTGCTTACCTGGAATTAAACTTTGCAAAGATTATATGGGCATAACATATAGATAACTTTAAGAGTTCCAGACAGGAACTCTTTGTGACTAGGAACAAGCCTATCTGAAAGTTATGTATTATGATTACCCTTCAGGAGTAAGTGAATAATTTAGATAGACCTGTGGACCAGATACGACTGATTACCTGTTTTTGGTCCATGAGCTATTATTGCATAGTCATTTATATTTCAGTTGATAGAATAAATTAAAGGGAAGTATTTGTGACATGAAAATTATGTAAAATTCAAATCTCAGTGTTTATGAAGTTTTATAGCAAAATTGAGTAGTTCTGACAGAGTCTGTGTGAGCCAGGAAATTTAAAATAGTTATTATGTGGCTCCTTACAGAAGAATTTGTCAACCATTGAAATAGGTAATTATTTATCTCTGTGAAATGGATGAAATTAAACTTTAAAAAAATGTTCCACATTCAGCTTCTTGAACTTTGGTGAGCCTAATCATGATTAGTTAAATAAGGTTAAGTTTATAACATACTAAGTTGTTTTTAAAGAAATAGACTGTTTGGAAAAAGGTAAATAATACTTTCAAATGGTCCTGCTTTAGTATATGACTACTTACAAACTCTGTGTTTCAACCTGTTTGTATTTTAAAACACAAAACTATTCTCCAAAGCTGCTCTAAATTGGCCACAGAAATAATCCATCAAGAATGTTAGAATTGGGGCTGGGAAGGTGGCTCAGTAGTACAGTGCTTGCCTCCCATGCATGAGGCTCTGGGTTTGATTCCTAAGCACCATATAAGCAGAAAAAACTGGAAGTGGCACTGTGGCTCAAGTGGTAGAGCGCTATCCTTGAGCTGAACAGCTAAGTAAGGGACAGTGCCCAGGCCCAGAGTTCAGGCCTCAGAACTGATAAAATAATAATAATAATTAAAAAAATTTAAACAATGTTAGAATGACCTTACAATGGTAGCACTGTCAAATACTATGGTAAACATAGATTAGGAAATGTTTGAAAATAGCAAGTAATTCAAATCAGTTGTAATCTAGTTTAATTTTTGTTTTATTAGAACTCCAGAAATCGGATTACCTTGAGTATGCTGGGAGACAGTACTATTTGGGAGACAAATGTCAGGTTAGTTCCTTCTTTTTCAAAACTTTTTTTCCCCAAATTTTTGCTTATAGTCATCAATATGAGGTGGGCACAGTAGTCAACTATAATTCCTGCACTCAGGAGCCTGAGGCAAGATTTGGCCAGACACATAGTGAATTCAAGTCCAGCCAGAGCTCTATCTAGTGGACCTTTTCCCAAAAAACTGGATTGTAAATATAACTCAGTGGTGGAACCTATTTGACTAGGATATGTAAGCTTCTGAGCTTGATCCCTCATACCACAAAAAGAAACATTTGATCAAGATTTTATGTACAAATGTTAAAAAGATGTTTTTAGTATTTTATTGGATTTTAGTTGCAAATCTTTGTGATATTTATTTAGATGTAAGATTCATCCTGTATGTACTTTCTTCATTGATCTCCATGGATAGTATTGGCATTTAAAAATAGTAGATATTAAAATTCACTTGGGGAAAAATTATTTTTGTCTGGGAGAAGCCAGGTATGTCAGTAGACATGACTAGATACGTTGCCTTTCAGGTTCGTTTGAAATTAGATGGAAAATATTATAATGCTCATATTCAAGAAGTAGGAAATGAGAACAATTCAGTAACAGTTTTCATTGAAGAACTGGCAGAAAAGTAAGAACATAATAATTTGTTTTTTTGAACATAATTTGTTAAAATAATAAAGTCTTGTATCACTATGGCATTTTCATAGTATTAATGTTAAAATAATCAGAAATATCTGTTACTGGCCTAATATTTTACATTATAAAGCATCTGCTGACATGCAATGCCTAAATACAGTAATCACATATAAGAACTTCCAAATCTTAGTTAATAGCCAACTTATTAGAACTAAGTACAACAGAAAATTGGTGTAAAACTGTCCATCATAGTAACTGAACAGGTAGTTTGAGTTTTCTAGCATCAAAACAAGCTGCATTAGTCCTTTATAATTTATATGCAGTGTCAAAAACAGATTAAACTCGATCTCTGAAGTCTCAAAATTACTGTTTTCAATGTCAATAAATTGAATTTCCAGGTATTGGTTATGCTGTTAGTACACTTTAAGATACATTAAAATGAGCTGGGTGCCGGTGACCCATGCCTGTAATCTTAGCTACTCAGGAGGCTGAGATTTGAAACTAGCCTGAGCAAGAAAAGCTGTGAGACTTTTATCTCTAGTTAAGTAGCAAAAAAGCTTAAAGTAGAGCTGTGGCTCAAGTAGTAGAGCAGTAGCCTTGAGCAAAAAAGCTCAATGACAATGCCCAGGCCCTGAGTTTAAGCCCCAGGACCACTATACACAGAAAAGATATATTAAACTGAGCTATGTTGACCTAACAATCAGAAACATTTCCGGAATTTAAAATAATAATTTCTTGCTCATTTAGCATGTCCATAATGAGTCAGTAAAGGAAGATCTAGGCTGATAGTGGTTCCCTCTTTACATACATTTTTTCCATGATCACAATGAGGAAAAAAAATATAACAGACCACTTGCTGGTCCTTAAAAATCGCATTTTTTATTGGCCAAAGTAAATGGTTTCTATAGCCATTGGAGTAGGGAGCAGATATGATTGTTATAAGGAGAGGGAGCAAATCTTTATGATCTAGTAACAGTCTACCACATATGATAGTATGTACTACAAATTCTGAAATTATACAAAGTACTCCCAGATTTTCTAACTTACGAACAAAACTAAACAGGGAAGCTAGTGAACAATAGGTTTAAAGAAAATGCACTTGAAAATGAATCATGAGGGGTGGTGGGGATATGGGTACTGAATGAGAGTAAAGTCTTTGTTGCTGTGGCTTCATGGTGACCCATTTAACTTTAAGGCATGTTGTTCCACTGGCTAATTTAAAACCAGTTACCCAAGTGACATCTGTTCCTTCCTGGAATGCTGTACCAAGTCGAAAAGGAAGAGGTTATCACAAAATACCTGGAAGCTATGTCCCAGAAATAGGTTTGTATGCTAAAGGTTTTTATTTTTTTTCCCTTTCAGTAGCCCCCTTTATATACCAACATTGTACTTGGTTAATGTATATTATATGTCTTGTGTGATTTCATAGCTTACATATTACTGGTGTTTTGGGATGACTAATGCTTTGTTGTAGAGGAGGGTTCTCCTGTGCATTGTATTATGATCCTTGGCTTCTAACTACTAGGTGCTAGTATGACAATCAAATAGGACATACCAGATGTACCCTGAGGAAGAACATATCAAAATGTCCCAGATTGAATAATTGTTGTAGGTGGTTGTGTAAACTTAAGCTAGTGTAGATTTTATGCTGTAAACTAACTTGAGGGGAAAATGTTTTTCAAATCACCAAAAAGTAAACTCAGGAAAACCATCAGAGATATGAAACATAGCTTTTTGGAACATAGTAATGTGGGTAACAATTTCCTTCCTTATATCTCTTTCATTTGTTCCTACCAAAAGCATCTAAAAACTTTAAGGCACATGTGGAAGTAGAGGGCTGCTGGATTTTTCATTTGGTTATGAAATTTACTATGTTTATTATTTAAAAGCTATGTCAGAGATGAGTATAAAGCAGCGGAAGAAGATCTTCAAAAAAGGCCGAGGAAAGGAGGTCCATATGAATATGGCCTATGGCAGGGGAGAACCCATCCTCCCACCTAGGCTTCACCATGGAATGCATTATGGACATGGTCCTCCACTGCAGTACTCACAGATGGCTGGCAATGTTATGTCCAGTGAATATTTTTATCCTCAACATTCATCTCAACGACATGGTCGTGGATATGGGATGTTCAGGTAAGACTTTGACTTTCATGACAGTGTGTATCTTATAAAAATAATTCCTGAACAGAATTATAGAATTAAGAAAAAGCACTTAATTATAGATTTAAGAAAAATCATTTAGACACTTATTCTGTGTCCAAAGAGAGCTTAGAGCTGATATATACTTAATTCTTGCCAAAAGAATTTATTGGCCAGTTTATATTCTTATGTTTGGAAATGCGGAACAGTTGAAGAGATACCTGATAAAATAGTATCAAATAAGTGTCCTTAGGATATTTGCCACCATACTCAAGAATAATGGTAATACCAGTGCAAAGTTCTTCCTAACTGGATGTTTCCAGAAAGGCATGCTGATTCTGTTTAATTACAGAGGTTGACTAAAATCGAAAATTTCCATTTTTCCTTTCCCTTTACTTTTAGGGATTCATCTCACTTTATAAATAGGCACAATGTACCGAACCCTAAAGTTGGTTTTTACCCTGGCCCAGGTAAAAGGTGCTTCCAGAACTATGATAACATCTCCTATAGATCTCGGTAAGTAGTTGAAGTGTTCAATGTTAGAAAAAAATGTCTATGTCCAGTATTATTGTTGAAAATGGTAATTTTTGAAGGTATCAACTTTATTTGAATTATTATCTGGAAAGTATAAGGAAGCTGGGCACTGCTGGTTCATGCCTGTTATCCTAGCTGCTTAAGATTAGGAGAACTGTAATTCAAGGCCAGCTGGGTAAGAAAAGTTCACAAAAACCCTTCTCAATGTAGAGCTGGATGCAGTGGGGGTAGTATTTGTTATCTTAACCATGTCAAAAAAGCCTGACATAGGCAGATCATGCCCAGTCATGCACTGAGGTAGGAATCAAGACCATATCTCAGAAATAACCAGAAAACAGACTAATTGATAAGAAGACCATCTTGGCAGGCTCTCTAAGCCTCAGAGTTCAAACCTAGTAACTTAAAAAAATGAAGACAGCCAGCATTGGTAGCTTATCCCTGTAATCCTAGCAGATAAGAGGGGTGAGATCTGATAATTGCGGTTCAAAGCCAACCCAGGCAGGAAAGTCTCTGAATGTCTTATTTCTATTTAACTACCAAAAAAGGGAAATAGCACTGTGCTTCAAACTGGTAGAGCACTAGCTTTGATTACAAAACTGGAGGGACAATGCCCAGGCCCTCAATTCAGGCTCTAGGACTGGCACCAAACAAACTAACACAAGTTATTGCCATGTTTTAACTTACTTGCCCTTTTTATTTTCCAAATTATGTAAGTTCCTATAGACGTGGTCATCGTCAGATGCGTTGTATGAATAAGGAATGCCAGTACAGCTTTGCCCCAGGAGGCCAGATTCCCAGTGGTCTTCAAGAAACTGTTGCTTACTATGAAGTTGCAGAAGGGAATGATACTGCTTATCCAACTTTACCTGTAAGTGGATCAGAGCTTCACTTGTAAAGCTGTTACACCTTTTTAAAATTAATGGTAATGTATGTAAATTTTAAGGTTTTCTTTTTCTGGTGTTAGGTATCAAACCTGGGTCTTTATACAGGTTAGGCAAGTACTCTACTTTTGATATATATCCTCAGCCCTAATTTTAAGTATTAGTTTGGCCCTAATTTTAAGTATTAGTTTGAACAACTAAATAAAGTCCTTCAGGGCAAGCACCAACTTAGCTCCTTAGAGCTTTTAACTTTGATCTGTTTCTTTGTTTTTCTTGAGAGAAGATCTTATTATGTAGCCTAGGCTACTCCCAAGAGTTGAGGTTATAGGCGTTTGCCACTGTACCTGGTGAGAATAGTTTTTGTTTTTTTTTTTCCCTAATGCTATTCTTGGAGAAGTGGATAGAGTTAGCCAACCTTGCCTATATATGGGCTAATATATTCCGGTTTCTTGACCATTACTTGATTTTTTTTTTTTTTGTCGGTCGTGGGGCTTGAACTCTGGGCCTGGGCGCTGTCCCTCAGCTCTTCAGCTCAAGGCGAGCGCTCTACCACTTGAGTCACAGTGCCACTTCCGGCTTTTTTTTCTTTTTGCTTATGTGGTGCTGAGGAATCGAACCCAGGGCCTCAGGCATGCAAGGCAAGCACTCTACCACTGAACCACCTTCCCAGACCCTATCTTCCATTTTTATCATCCTCCAAAGAAACCCCATACCCACTAGTATCCACTACCATTTACCTGTGATCTCCTTCCTCCAGCCTTTGGCAATCACCAATCCATAGTTTGCTTACTCTAGACATTTCATTTAAATGGAGATATGAATCCTTTGTGAATAGAAGAGTAAGATTTTGAACTGGTATTTATCTCTAGCACTTTATATATACCACACATATCACAAACACACACACTCTTACTAATATTATCTCTGACCATGAAGTGTTTTCTTTGAACAAGTAAATTTTTTGCTGGTCCTGGAGTTTGAACTCTTGTTCAAACTCTCCTTTTGAGCCACAGTTCCAATTTCAGCTTTTTCTGTGATTAATTGGAGATAATCTCATAGATATCCAGCCTAGCTGGCTATGAACTGTGATCCTCAGATTTCAACTTCCAGAGTTGATAGGATTACAGGCTTGACCATTTACTTTTTTTATTGTAAAGATACTGTACAGAGAGGTTACAGTTACATGAGTAAGGTAATGAGTACATTTTCTATAAAGCATTGTTACCCCCTCCTTTGTTTTTCCCCTACTATCTCTTCCCTCCCCACCTCCTCCCTCTCCCTGCCAAGTTGTGAAGTTCATTTTCAACATAGTGTCATACATCTCATTGTTATAATGGGTCAACCTGTATCCTTGTTTCAGCATTTTGTTATTTCCCATTCCCCTCCCCAAATTAGAAAAATGTATATATAAGATGCAGGGCACCGGAATCAAATACAATGACAACAGGGGTTATACAATGTTGGAACAACATACAAAAGAAAAAAAAATCACATAGTACATTAAAAACAACAGCAAAAAAGAGAAAAAGTCTCTTTTTTTTTTTCGGTTGGTCGTGGGGCCTTGAACTCTGGGTTTGGGCACTGTCCCTCAGCTCTTCACCTCAAGGGTAGCACTCCACCACTTGAGCCACAGTTCCACTTTCAGCTTTTTCTGCTTATGTAGTGCTGAGGAATTGAACCCAAGACCTCATGCATGCAAGGCAAGCACTCTACCACTGAGCCACCTTCCCAGTCCCCCAAAGCCTCTTTTAATATAATAAACATGTACTGAAAAACTGCAGATGATTTAGTGGCTTTAAGGTAAAAGGTAATCTGAATAAAAATCCTTACTTGTTATATTCTTCTTGCTATTTATATAGAGGAAAACACTTTATTTTAGGAATTTAATGAGGGCAAGAATATCTGACACAGAATGATGTGTGAAAACATGCATGTCCATGCATGTTCTTAAAGATCCTTACTATGATCTTTTATTCAGATGACTTTTAACTTTTCCTTGTAGTCCGTATGAGTATCTGCAGATACTTATTCACAGTGACATATTTAAAATAACAGAACCTTTATTCTGAACTTAAGTCTTACTATCTATTTGGTTGATAGTACTATGTTTTTAAGAATCAAATGCAGTTTACATCTGTGGGCTTTCTTTGGTAGAAAATTATAAAGTTGGAGATTTACTTTGTGTTTCAATGGCCTGTTGATATTAATGGAGAGTACTTTTGTCTATTGAACCATCCTTTGAAGAAAAACTACCCATGCATACTTTGAAGAAATGCACATACATACACATATGTATATATACACATACATGAAACATGCTGGAAAACAGATCAGGAAAGAAATTACTTTTTTTGTGATGCTGAGGTTTGAACTGAGGCTTGGGTTTACTAGACAAGCACTCTAATTCATACTTGAGCAATGGCCCAACACTTTTTAGTTTTGATTTATTTTTCAGGCAGGATTATCTGTCTTTGCCTAGGACTTACCCTGATCCTCCTACCTGTGGCCTCCTGTGTAATTAAGACCACAGGCATATACCAACAAGCCCGGTTTATTGTTTATAGCCTATTTCTGGTTTCATTATCTATTGACTGAAAAGCTCAAATACCTATCAAGAATATGCTAATTTTGGTTTTGAAAATACGCTCATGAAACATAAGAAAAAGCAAGGACTGCCTATTTGGTTCTGTTAAAATAATACATTTTCTTTTATTATTTGTAGGGGAATATCATGAAGAATATCTTTACTCATCAGGTCAGTGAGATTCTAGATAAAACCTTATGTCTTTGATGAAATTTCAAATGTAATTTTTTTTTGCTTTACATTGACTCTTCTAGAAACTGACTATGAAAATTCAGATGTGTATAGCACGACTACATCTACAGCAAACTTGGTAGGTACTTAATAACGGCAAACATTGTTAACTCCTACTATAAATTAGGGCACTGTTCTCGGGGTTCTACATATACATGTATTTAAGTCAGCAAAACACTTTGAGGTAGTTAGCGTTGTTCCCATTACGTATCTAAAATTGAGGTCTAGAAATAAACTAAGTCATTACCTTAACTCATGTAACTGTAACCCCTTTATAGCATCTTTATACTAAAATAAAAAAGTTAAAAAAGAAATAAGGCCTTTAGTGAGTTAATCTATGTATAGATATATCTATATCAGAATAAAAAGAAATTCTTACATTGGCAGTGACATTCTTTTAAATGTTTTTATTACCAGAGTTTTTTTGTACCAGAAATTTTCATTATGATTTTTATATCAGAATGAGCTATAAATTTTATTTACTTAATACAATTAAGTTTGCTTCTTGTTTATAGTATGCACATAGTGAAAGCCTATACAAGCTACTCCATTCATGATTGTCAACTCAGGAAATCAAAGGTGGTAAATGGTGCACTGACTCTTAAAGTTTCCACTGCAGATGTCACATACCAATCTTTTTTATTTCATTGACTACATCAAATCTCACTGAGTCTAACTTTTGTCTACCTGGAAGGCAAAAAGTTAGAAATATTTTGACAGCATTAAAACTACAATATTCAACTAAATTTCTCTAAAAAAGGGAAATAGTGATTTTTGTACTAAGGGAGGCAGCCTCTGAGCCCCATTGAGTGTATTCAGATGCAAGAGTGAGGATTTCAAAATGATTATCTAAAATTCCTCATACTGGGTTCATCTGTTGTTCTTCCTGAGCTAGACCTAAAATCAAACCTACAAAGTTTACTGTTCCCCGGTTTTAGAGTGGTGCACATGAGATGAACAGTTACACTAGTGTTCCTTCTCAGAATGGGGGAAAGTGGAAGAAATGTAGTTTCTGGCCTATCACAGTTCTGAAATCATTATGGGTATACTATGTAGCCACCATGTTATGCATGGGAAAATGTCTTCTGGTTTATTATTTTCTGAAGTTCTTGTAAGACCTACCTGTCCCTGGTTATATTTGAAGGTGGTAATTTGGTAGCTTGCCTGCTTCTTTCACAAGACTTGGGGCTCACAGATTATTTTACTTTCCTTAAATAATATTATTTCTGAGTCTTGGTTTCTTTGGCTGTGACATTAATTTATTTAATCCTCTTTTATCCCTATTTTGTATACCAACAACCATACTTCTGATTCATTTTATAGCTATGCTAATCAGATTTGCTATAATGCTTTGCTTTCTTATTTCTGAGTTTCACTTGATTGTGAACATCTAAAACATACCAGCCAGCCAGGAGTCAGGGGCCAGTGGCTCATGCTTATAGTCTCAGCTACGCAAGAGGCTGAGATCTAAGGATCATGGTTCAAAGGAAAGTCTGTGAGACTTTTTTAAGTCTGGGCTTGGGTGCTGTCCCTCATCTCTTCAGCTCAAGGCGAGCACTCTACCACTTAAACTACAGCATCACTTCTGGTTTTCTAGTGGTTTATTGGAGATAGAGTCTCACAGAGATTATTGTCTGGGATGGCTTTGAACTGCAATCCTCAGATCTCAGCCTCCTGAGTAGCTAGGATTAAGATAATTGGAGTGGCACTGTGGCTCAAGTGTTAGAACACTTGTCTTGAGTTGAAGAGCTCAGGAACAGCACCCAGGCTCAGAGTACAAGCCCAGTGACTGACAATAAATAAGTAAACAAAAAAAATATATCAGACTTATTTTGGATATTTTTCCTTGAGATATTTTGTCCACATGTGATAATTTAGTGATTGCCCATAGCTGAACTTTCTTTGAGGCATCTTTGCTTCAGAGACTTTCAATGATTTTGATCCATGCTATGAAAGTGAATTCTAACTGGTTTTTCTCAAAATATTCACCTTGTATTTTAGGGTTGAAATAGTTGTCTCTTCAACCCCATGGGTTACTGTATACGAGGGCCCTCTATTCCTTTTCATTCCTATCCATAAATTACTAATTCTTTCCTGTGAAAGATTGCTGATTACAGTCTGAAAACCATGCTAGTATGTGTTTTCCTAATTTCCTTAAATCATAAATCTTCCTAGTAAGATTTTTTCAGTTGATACTATTTCTTTTTAAATATTTTATTGTTATTGTAGAATGGTATACACAGGGGTTACAGTGACATGAGTCAGGTAACGAGTACAATTCATTGTGAACCATGTCTCTCCTTCCCTTGCTTTTTCCCAATTTTTCCCTTCTGTCCCCAACCACAGGATGTATAGTTCATTTTCTACTTAGTGATTAGTGAGTACCAGTGTCGTATTTATCCTTTCTTCCACCTTCTCTGTGCTTCCCCCTGCCCTCCCATATATAAACTAACATACAAAACAAAAGGAAAAGAAAAAAAGCAACAACAGCAACTAAAAAAAAAGAAATTGACATAGCTATTGTCATTCACTCCTGTGCATATCTCCTTTAGCCTCACTGTGTGAATAATTTGTCATGTCCCAGTGGATATTTTTTTGATCATTCATTGTGTTTACATGTAGATTTATTAGGAGCATTCTAATTACAAAAAATGAGAGAAACCGAGCTGGGATGTTGGCTCAGTGGTAGAGCGCTTGCTTTGCATGCCTGAGGCCCTGGGTTTGATTCCTCAACACCACATAAGCAAAAAGAAAAAAGTCGGAAGTGGTGCTGTGGCTCAGGTGGTAGAGCGCTAGCCTTGAGCTGAAGAGCTGAGGGACAGCGCCCAGGCCCAGAGTTCAGGCCCCATGACCGGACCCCCCCCCCAAAAAAAATGAGGGAAACCATGCAAACTGTATCTTTGGATCTGGCTTACTTCACTATGATTTTTTCCAAGTCCTTCCACTTCCTAGCAAATCGGCAATGTCCTTTCTGATGGCAGCATCCAATTCCTCTGTGTGTGTGTGTGTGTGTGTGTGTGTGTGTGTGTACACATATATATATATCAATATCACATTTTCTTTATTCATGTACTGAAGAGCATTTGGGTTAGTACTATATCTTAGCTATGGTAAATAATGCTGCAGTTAACATGGTTGTGCTGATAGCTGTAGTATAGCCTGTTTTGTGGTCAATTGGATAGATGCCCAGGAATAGAATTGCTGGGTTATAGGGTAGCTCTTGTTTAGTCTTTTGAGGAACCTCCATACTGCTTTCCAAAGTGGTTGAAGAAGTCTCCAACTGTGTAATAGAGTTCACTTTTGGCCACATCCCCAACAGCATCTGTTATTTGTTTTCTTGATAATGGCCATGCTAACTGGGATGACATGGAATCTCAATGTTGTTTTGGTTTGCATTTCTTTTATGGCCAGAGATGTTGACCATTTGTTCATGTGTGTATTGGCCATTCTTACTATTCCTCTGAGAAGTATCTCTTTTTTACCCCATTTATTGATTAAATTGTTCAGATTTTAAGGATTTATTTTTCTCTGATCTCTTTTTATTCACACTTCCACTTATGGCTTTTTATTTGATAAGTAATTGGAGATGGATCTATCAGGGACTTTCCTGTCCAGTTTGGCATCAAACCATGAACCTCAGATCTTAGCCTCCTGAATAGCTAGGATTATAGGCATGTACCATCAGTACCTGGCTGACCATTAACATTTCTGTTTATATTTCAATGGCCAAACAACTAATATGGCCATACCTAACTTTTATTTTTTCACCTGAAATTATTAACCTATATTACTTGTATAATGGGACATCTCATTGTGATATTTCTATATCTGTATATATTATGCATTTTCTTATTGTAAAGGTGATATACAGAGGGGTTATAGTTATACAAGTCAGGTAATGAATACTTTTCTTTTTGAACAATATCACCTCTTACCTCTTTTCTTTGAGTTTTTCACTCCCAACCCCCTTCCCCACAAGTTGTATAGTTTGTTTTCAACATAGTATCTAGTGAGTATCACTGCTGCATTTGTTCACCTTTTATCCCATCATTTCTATGCTCCACCTTATCCTCCCCCAAACAGATAAACTTATATACAAGAGAAAAGGTATAAAAACAAAAACAGTGACAAAGGAGAAAAAAACAAGTAAAATAACATACTAACTCTTAAAGATATCTTTCTTTAGTTTCAATGTGTGAATTTAATTTATTATGTCCAAGTGTATTTTTTTTTGCCTTTTACCATCCAGTATGGTTACTTATAGATTTATAGGCACTTTGTGGTTACAACAAATAAGGGAAACTTTGCGACCTATGTTTCCTTGGGTCTGGCTTACTTACTTTGCTATGACCCAACAGTTCCACTCCTGGGCATTTATCTAACAGACCACAAACAGACCACACTAAAGCTACCAGCACAACCATGTTCATGGCAATGTTGTTTACCATAGCCAAGATTTTGGAATGAACCCAGATGACCTTCAGCATATGAATGGATCAAGAAAATGTTGTATATATACACAGTGAATTTCTATGCTTCTATTACAATGATATTGTACCATTTGTAAGGAAATGGAAAGACTTGGAAATATTGTATTATGCATTGATTTTTTTAAAAAACTTTTAAAATTATCTGTAAGTAGTTGTAAAAAGAAGGTTTCAGATGGGCACTGATGGCTCACACCTGTAATCCTAGCTACTCAGGAGGCTAAGATCTCAGGATCGCAGTTCAAAGCCAGCCCAGGCACGAAAGTCCATGAGACTCTTAGCTCTGATCATCACTTCAGAAAACCAGAAGTGGCTCTGTGGCTCAAGTGGTAGAGCACTAGCCTTGAGCTGAAGAGCTGAGGGACAGTGCCCAGGCTGAATTCGAGCCCCATGACTGACAAAAAACAAAAGAAAGGTTTCAATTTAATATTATCAGTTTATGAGTACAGTGCATTTTGATGAATGTATTTCCTTCCATCATTGTCTTCCATATCTCCCAACTCCACCTATCCCCTCTAATTATCTTGTTATATTTTCACATATGCACATTGAATATTGTGAGTGTATTCACCCACCCTTTCTCTTTTCATTCTTTTGTCTCCCTGCTTTTTGGTATTATTTTGTTAAATTACAGGTTGTTTGAAGGAGTTAATTCAAACCTTTCTCACATATATCTTACTTAAGACCACATGTTTAATGATCCAATATATATTTGCAAATATGTTTATAATTTGGATCTAATTTCCACATATCATACCTTGATTTTTCTTTACTAGTATTTTCCTGCCCAATCCTTTCTCTTCCCTTCTCCAGTCCCTTTCCCAGTCCTTGGACATTTCTGTCCTATTTTCTGTCAATTTTTATTTTTAAACTGAAATACATATCTTTATGTATTTGATTTATTTCATAATATGATTTTAGAACCTTGGACAGTCCTTGGAAGCAAAGATAGTACCCAGGAAAACTGGAAATGAAGAAGTGATTTTACTTTCGTTTTTTTTTCATTATGATTACTTTTACCTTGGCAGCTTTATGTACTAATTTTGCTTTTACTCTCCAGGCATTATACTTACAAAAGAATTTTTTTTTTTTGGGTCCGGTCATGGGGCCTGAACTCTGGGCCTGGGTGCTGTCCCTCAGCTCTTCAGCTCAAGGCTAGTGCTCTACCACTTGAGTCACAGTGCCACTTCCGGCTTTTTTTTCTTTTTTGCTTATGTGGTGCTGAGG